TCGTGTCTACTCACAGACCCGGAATCAAATAAGTATGCCCATCACAATCTGACCTGGCTCGGTCTTGAACCCGACGAGAGGGGGCCACGAGCCTGAACTGGCCTGGCCCACGCCCACTCCTACGCCTTATTTGGTACGCAGGAATGAGTGAGAATGAAATGCAATTCTAACTTTTCATTCATGCTTGCCAAATATAAAGTGTTTTTGGATGCTAGAAATGTCATTATCACTTTTCATCAGTTCCCGCTTAATGTGGGAATTACTATTCCCAACGAGTTACCAAAGAATTGATATTCCCACTTAAGTGAGAATAAAAATAATAAAATAAATTTTGGATATACCCTTCTTAAAGATATTCTCACTTAATTCTCTGATCGCACCTAAACATGAGAATGGGAATGAGCCTTCCATTCCCACATGAAATTCATTCCATTCCTACATTCATTTCATTCTCACTTGACTCCATTTCCACGTACCAAACAATGCGATAGGGTTGTTTTATCTTAAATATACTAGAAGAGTCCAAGGTGACGAAGAGCGGAAGAGTGAACTTTATGAGTGATCAATATTCTCTTTGTTTGATATGTCTCATTCTAGTGAAGGTATAAAAAAAAGAAGAAGAAAAGAAAAGAGAAAGATATACACCATGAAAATTATAAGAGGTATTATACATAAGTAGGTCTTTGCTTAAATACGGAGTGTTAAAGTGAGAGAGAGAGAGAGAGAGAGAGAGAGAGAGAGAGAGAGAAAGTCTTGGGTAAATTTCCCTGGAACTGAATATTGAGTGTGTACATATATATATATATACAAGTAGATGAGGGTAAGGTTTGTCCTCATAATCAATGTGGGACTAAGGTTATAAGGACTAAACCCACTACTAACACAATATAACAACCCCCCTCAAACTCATGTTAGATCAAACAAAGTGAGTTTGCATACAAGAAACTGGAATCGATGAACGGGTAAGGCCTTTGTGAAGAAATCTGCAAGCTCATCAGCAGATGAGAAATGAGGAAGTAGAATTGTCTTGTTCTTGATAACTTGTTGACGGACAAAATGAGCGTCGATCTCAATATGTTTGGTCATCTCATAAAATACTGGATTATTAGCAATCTGGATGATACTCTTATAATCATAATAGAGAGGAGTATGAGTCGTAACAGAAATACCGAAATCACTGATAAGACGACGAAGATGAATAATCTATTTAGTTGTTGTGGACATTATACGATACTCTGCCTCAGTGCTGGAAAGAGCAATAACATATTGTTTCTTACTTCGCCAGGAAATAATGAAATCACCAAGAAATATATAATAACATGTGGTAGATTTCCTGGTAGTGAGATCACCAACCTAATCAATATCAGAATATGCACAAATCTCTAACTTGGATGTAACAGGAAATAGAAGAGAGAGAGAGTGCTAGTACCTCGAAGATACTGAAGAATCCGTAATAAGGCAGCATAGTGTGCATAACGTGGAGCACTAACAAATTGACTAACAATGCCAACAGCATGAGAGATATCTGGTTGAGAGAAGCACATATAGACCAACTGGCCAAGAAGATGTCGATATCGGGTAAGATCAGATAGAGACACACCATCAGTAGAACGAAGTTTAACATTCTGTTAGAGTTATTGACAATTGTATCGTCAGTTAGCTCAGCGCGATCTAGAATATCTAAGAGATACTTCTGTTGAGACAGTAGTACACCCCGTGGGCCCTGAGAAATTTCTAGACCAAGAAAATAGCGATGAGATCTAAGATCCTTCATGTGGAACTGTTGTTGTAATTAAGATTTTGTGAACTGTATGCTAGCAGTATCATCACCTGTAATGATCATATCATCTACATAAATGAGTAATAAAACTCTGCTACGCGATGTAGTACGAACAAACATAGAAGCATCTTAACAACTCTCCATAAAGCCTGCCTTGAGCATAACATCGTGAAAACACTCAAACCAAGTGTGGGGTGCCTACTTAAGACCATAAACAACACGATGAATGAGACATACGTGTCTCGGAGGAATATTGGACGTTGGAGGCAGTTGCATATATAATATCTCAGATAAAGATCCATTGAGAAAAGCATTCTTGACATCCATCTGGTATAAAGGCCAACGATGAGTAGCAACAACCATAAGTAGACTACGAACGGTGGGCATCTGAGCAACAAGAACAAAGGTCTTCTTATAATCAATACATTGTTGTTGAGTAAAACCTTAAGCCACTAAACGAGCTTTTCGACGTTCAATGGTGCCATCAGGATGATACTTGACCTTATAAACCCATTTGCTGCTAACAAGAGAGATCCCAGGGGGATAGGGAACAACATCTCAGATATGTGTTTGCTTAAAGGTCTGAAATTCCTCTGCTATAGCATGTCACCACTCTGAAATTCGACGTTCAATGGCATTTGTCTCGACGAAGAGCAAGAGGAACCTCAGACGGGGGGAGATATTGGCGTAGGTGCGTGAAGATCAACAGTATTTTCTGGAGTGAGTGTCTTGTCCACGGGATAGGGATCGGTTGGTGTAAGAGAAGGTTTGGGTGAGGAAGAGTCAACGGAAGGAGATGGAGAGATGTCAGGGAGATCTCGAAAGGAAAACTGAGGTAAAGAAGTTGGTGATACAGCTGACGGGAAAGCATGATCAGTAGAATGGAGAAAATTAAAATCATCAGAAGTAGAATATTATGGAGAATCCTCTTCGAATTGAATGTGACGAGATATATGAACTCGACAAGTTGCGGGATCATAACAACGATAACTCGATGTTCCGAACTAATTCCTAAATAAACACAAGAAATACCTCTGGGAGATAATTTATCACGTTCGTGAGATGACAGAAGAATGAAATAGTGATAACTAAAAACGCAGACCAGATCGTAATGGGAAGGATGAGTATAAACATGACTATGAGGAATAGCACCGGAAAGAGAGTTAGATGGAGTGATATTAATAGCATGAGTATCAATGAGAATAGCCTCAGCTCAGAAATGATGAGGAACAGAGTAAGAAATGAGTATAGATCGAGGATATGATGATGTTTACGTTCAGCAATACTATTTTGCTCATGAGTGTAGGGACATGACTGTTGAAAGATAGTACCAAGAGAGGACATGATAGAACACATGGTAGAGGATAGGTACTCTTTGGCACAGTCAGAACGAAAAACTTTAATACAAGATTGTCATTGAGTGAAGATCATAGCAGTGAAGGCTTGATAAGCAGTAAGTACGTCAGAGCGATTCTTAAGTAGGTAAACCCATGTAAAACAAGAGAAATTATCAGTAAAACTAATACAATATAAGTAGCCAGATGAAGAAGGTAGAGGAGCTGGCCCCCAAATATCAGAATGTACTAAATCAAATAAGAAAGTGGATACAAATGTACACTTTTTAAATGATAAAGCACTAAATTTAGCCAATTTACAACCGGTACATGACTCAATACTAGAACTAGATGATACAGGACAAAGTACTCCAGACTGAATAAGACCCTCCAGCCTTTTATTAGACACATGATCAAGTCGTCTATGTCACAAATTGGCAGGGAGCGAGGTAGAGGGTTTTGACGAACAAACAGAAGCAAGAAGAGAACGTGGACGTATGGACTCTGGAAGATGAAGATATTCCAGAAAATACAGTTTGTGCCTCCTACGACCTGCCCCAACCATCTTTCCCATCTGTGGATCCTGTAAAAGACAAGTATCAGAAAAAATAAGATGAGCAAGCTAGGCATACATAAAGAGCTAATAGAAATTAAATTTAAGCACAACTGAGGAGCCACATAGACGAGACCACCTGGTAGACGACTAAATTGATCATATTATGGGGGTAATAGAGTCATACCGAGTGATAGACAATGGTTGTCCTATAGCTATGTAGATAGAGAGAAGAGAAGATGAAGTGAAGACAGAGGATAAAAGTGAGGCATTACATAGCATATGTAAGGAACAGCCAGAGTAAAAAATCCAGATATATTCATACCAGAGACCGAAGGGTTAGCTAAAGAACTAGCAAAATGCATACCAGAGAGTTGTGCAGCGGATGTTGAGGTGATATGCTGAAAAGCATCAAGTTGATGGTGAAGACCTTCAATAACTTGAATAGTAGAGTCTGAAGTGGTAGAAGGTATAGCATTGGCCAGCAATCCTGGTGTACGAGAGGGTTAAGACTGAGGGAGTCGTCGACCATGACCAGTACCTGAGGAACGTAACTCAAGATGAAGCTTAAAGCATGTCTCAATATAGTGTCCTTCCTTCTTACAATATTTACAAGAGAGCTTAGATCGAGCCTATGGAGAGGGAGCCTGTTAAGAAGTATGATTCACAACAGGAGCGGTGACAGGTATAGACAGAACAATATCGAGTGAAGAGGTTAGAATATTTGTTGATCAATTGTCTACTGTTGGGTCTCATAAGAAGTGAGAGCTCTCATAACTAAGGCCAAAGTCGGAAATTAAGGCTGATGAAGTAGTTGATCAGCCATAGTTGAATATTCAGGAAGAGACTGAAACAGTTAATGAACCTCATGCCGCTCGTACCAGGCTAGCCAGTCTTCATATGTGGAATCACATCCAGTAAGCATGGAGCGTAATTCTGTCCAAAAAGCTTGCATTTGTCCAAAATGAGACTGTAGAGAGGAACTACCTTTGCATTGTAGAGCAATGCGTTGCAGAAGATATGTCTCTCGTGCATCAGAGTACTTAGTGAAACGCTCAGTGAGGTGAGTCTACATGGCCCGAGCAGAGGGAAGCGAACCAATTTTGACAGTGAGACCGGAGCCAACACAGCGGGTGAGAAAATCCATGACTCAAAATTCCTACAATAGCCAGTCCGAACTCTCCCTGACATAAAGAGCACGAGCGGTCTGAAGATCGACATTACCACTGTCAGATGTAACAGTACTGAATAAAGCAACAGTACTGATGGACGGTGAAACTGGTCCCATACTGGTGAGATGATCAAGCAGACCAGCACTACATAAGGCATTGGTGATAATGGTGGACCACCATGCCCAGTCACTTTTATCATTGAGGGGCAAGGACGGTTTAGGAATCTTCTCTGAAGGAGCCATAACAGCAAACTAAAGTTCAAGATAATAATCTTTGAATGAAAAAACCCGAAGGTTAGGATGGAACCCGAATGTGTAAAATAGAACCCGAATGTTAGAATGGAACACGAAGGTTATATATATTCGACCATGGATTCAACTGGAATCTTGATCGGCTGCAACACGACGGTCTCGGCAGCGAGACCGTTGGCTCCCACTGTGGTCGCCAGTCTGTTTGCGTCAAAAGTTGGTCTCGTTGTGGAATTCATTATATCTTTGATCGATTACAACAAATTCAAAAGAAATAGCCTTTTTATAAGACTTCTTTTACACAACAAAAGGAAAATTACAACTTTTTAGAAACAAACGCAAGATCGTTGTTTAGATCGCTGCTTGCGTGGGATCTTTGCCTGTGCCGGGAGCGCTTTGACTCTTGGACCACCGAATCACAGATTCTGATTGAATCGTGAGGGGTTTAATGATTCTTCCTTCGTTTATCGAAGTGAGAATTTGAAACGAAGATCGTATCAAAGTAAGATAGCTGTTCTTCTTAAGATCAAGTCAAAGCTCGAATCTCAAGGAATCCAAGAACAATAATGTCTGCTCTCTATGTGCTCAAAATTGCTCAATAATGTGCTCTGATCAGCCTCTTTTTAAAAAAATCGATCTCAGGGGGTATTTATAACCCCTGGGCAAAAAAACATTCCCGAGACAGTGTTTGCTCGGCGGTCGAGACAGCAAAGACTGTCTCGGGTTCCGAGACAGTAAACACTGTCTCGGGTTCCGAGACAGTAAATACTATCTCGAAAATCCTCAACTTCCAGATAGTTTTCTTGTAACTGCCTTCCCATGTTTTATAACTCTGTTATCTTGGTAGTTATCAACGTGATTCTCGCCCATGACGTTTCCCACGTTCCTTGGCAGTTAATGGACGTGTGTGACGGTTAAAACAGTTCTGAAACTGTCTCGTGTGCGAGACAGAGAACACTGTCTCGCGTGCGAGACAGTAAACACTGTCTCGCGTGAGACACTGTCTCGCGTGCAAGACAGTAAACACTGTCTCGCGTGTGAGATAGTAAAAACTGTCTCGCATGCGAGACAGTAAACACTGTCTCATATGGAAAGACAGTAAAGACTTGTCTCGCGGGCGAGACAGTAAAGACTGTCTCGCGTGCGAGACAGTCTATACTTATGTCTTTTTTCTCCTTTTGAGTTGCGCTTTCAGCATTTTTTGACGCCTACATGTTTCTTGAAGTATCTCCCAACTTTTTATGGATACTTGCATATATTAAAATGTACATCATCTTCTAAAAACAATACAGAAGAAAGCATGCATATATCATTTCTCTTAGAATTTTCCAATCATCTATCCATCAATACAGAAGAAAGCATGCATATATCATTTCTCTTAGAATTTTCCAATCATCTATCCATGATATTTTGCTTGTCATACAACGAAAATCTGCAAGTTTAATAGAAAAAAGAGACAAATTTACCAGGGGATGGTAGAGACATATCTTGATCATTAAACATCGCTTTTGCACCATTTAAAGTTGTCCAGAACGGTATTCGTAGGTGCAAGGTTGAAGCTTGAATAGAAGACTACATGAATAAGATCAAATTAATATACTGTTTCCTATGCTTTAAGAAAAAAGGATATTGCTTCCTCCATTTTATAAAACATTGGGCACTAAAATAAAGAAAAAAAAGACCTTGGGTTTTAGAGTATAACAAGCATTAGTTGACATGTGACTTCGGAAAAGATCAAATTAAAATTTAGGAGAAATATCAATATTATAAGCAGCATATGATGATAAAATGAGGGGAAAGTATATAACTTAATCACTCCTTCACAGGCGATGAAGAAAATATCTCCTTTAAAAGAATTGACAATGTGACATGAAGAGTGGGTTCCCATGAATTAATAGGTTTTATTTTCTGCGTTATCATAATGCTTCCAGACTTCCAATCAAACGCACTTGGTATGAACTGTATGATGTAAAGACCTGGGATACTTTCCGTCTCCTCAAAATAGATGGAATCTCCTAATTTGGAGAATGATTCAATACCTACAAACAATCAAAAAATCAAATAAGATACAGAACAATTTTTTGATTTTGGGGAGTCTAGAATATATTTATAACCTAGATATCTTTGCCTATTTCATCAATTGTTATTCAAAATTTGTTAATGTGATTAGCATTTTTTTTTATGATTTGTGGATATTTAGCCATCAAGAAAACATCTAATGAACACTTTCCATACAAGTTAGAAGGTTTCACGTCTTAGGACCAATATCACGCAGTCACAAGTAAGTTACATATGAGCAATATATTAGTCTAACTTTGAGGAAAATTTTAAGGGTTGAAGGTTTTCATACTTTTTACCAAGGAATTGTCCCATGCGAGCTTTCCACCGGCCACATTTGTGAAGTGTCACCCCTTTGTACCTAAGCTCTCATGAGCAAATCCATTGATTTGGAGACGAAGTATATGCACAAACTCTTCCTTTGTCAGGTTTTTCATCTGAAAGAAAGAAAAACCAGGAGAAAAACCAAATTAAAACTAAATCATTCATTTACAAATAGATCGGTAGATAATAAAGTATCCGATCATCCAGACATGTTTAAGATTTTCCTCATAATCACTAATATTGAAGTTGATATCAGCATCAACCCCACGAAACTTAATCGCAGCTCGATCATAAGCCCTGAAAGCAAAAATCCATCTAAATTAGAAAAGGATTTATTTAAAACATGGTTGAAATTAACAAAAAGTAGATAAATTGAAACAAAATTCCAACCTGGCAACAGCATGAGCATTGTCAAATCCTCCTAAAAAATTTTAGCCAACCACAGATCGAAACATAGTATTAATAAATTAAAAAAATCAAACATAAAAAGAAAAAAAAATACTTACCCAAATAAACCTGCTTCACACAGTCCCTTTTACACATGTAAAACTCCAAGAATCAATCTTTTCCAAAAAAATCAAAGAAAAACTAACCATATTTTTATAACCATTTACATTACAACTTGTAGTTAGGACAATTTTACATAAAGACCTAACTGATACGAGTCGCCGTGCGAGAACTCTTGATCGCGGAATTATCAAGAGTGGGTAAAGAAGAAAACGACTGAAGAACACAAGAGTTATAATTAGGACGAAGGAAAATACCTTCTCTAGACTATGAGAATCAATTGGATTTACAAAATCTCTCTCTCACAATCTCTCTAGATCAAAGAACAACCTCACTGATCTCTTTTCTGATTACAATCTGAGTTCTAAACCCTAGAAAAGTCGTGTTTCTATTTATACTAAACAGAAATCCTAACTGGAGTAGGAAACAGACCCAGGCCCGGAACCGCTACGCGGTCGACCGCAGTGCCCAAGGCGGTCGACCGGTCAGAATGACGAAAAACTGGAAAATCGATTACAGTGTTTCCGGTCGACCGCAACGCCATCATCGGTCGACCGCTCTCAGTCCTGAGACATAGTCTAGGCCTGTGCACTAAGCGATCGACCGCCGTGACCAAGCCGCAGCTGAGGGAACTCGCGAGCCCCTCCTTCTCTGTTGAACCACTTGGCCTTGCTAGGGACCTGACCTTGACGTCCAATGAGAAACGACTCCTTCGTCCCCCGCCTCGTCGTGGTCGTCTTCCGTTCCAAAATGCAATCTTCTTTCAGTGGCTCCTCTCTATCAAACCACAAGTCTTCAACATGCGGTAAGATCATCTTGTCATCACCTTCATCATCCAATAATGGAGGCTCAAACAACTTCAAGTACTCGGCATTGATCACCGAATACATGCCTAAGTAAGGTGGTAAATCTAAACGAAAAGCGTTGTCACCAATCTGATCGATAATCCGAAACGGACCATAACGAATAGGCTTCAACTTCTTGCCTTCTCCTTTTAGTCTCTCCTTACTCAATTTCAGCCACACCATATCGCCCACGCCAAAGTTACAAGGAACCCGATGTTGATCATGCTTCGCCTTGTACTTAGCTTGCGATTTCTTCAATTGAGCTTCAACCGTGGCATGAATATTTGCAATCTTCTCGAGAAATCGCTGAGCTCGTTGTCTTTCACTCCCCTCCTTGCCATCCCCCGTGGCTTCACTTGAAAACACAAGATCGAACGGGCTCGGCGGTAAAAATCCATAACAAGTCTCAAACGGTGACTTTCCGGAAGATCCATGAATTGCCCGATTAAAAGCAAACTGTAAATATGGTAGACTCTCATCCCAAGTCTTTGGATGCCTGGAATTATACCCTCGCAACATATGCACCATAGTCCGGTTGACTACCTCTGTTTCTCCGTCTGTTTGTGGATGAAAGGCCGTGCTCTTCTTCAATTTAGTGTCCATCAAACTCCACAAAGAATCCCAAAAATGCCCGAGAAAACGGCTATCCCGATCTGAAATAATCGAGCTCGGCAACCCAAAGTGCTTCCACACATGCTCAAAGAACAATTGTGCTGCACCCGCTCCCATCACGGTCTTCTTATAAGGAATCAATATCACCATCTTGCTGAAGAAGTCCACCACAACGTACAAATAGTCATGCCCGCGCTTCGTAGTCGGCAACCCCCCTAGAAAATCCATAGAAATGCTCTCCCACGGCCTAGAAGGAACCTGTAATGGTAGGTACAATCCCCTCTTTCTGTTAGAAGGCTTCGAAATACAGCATAACTTACACCCTCCAACATACTTGGTCACATCATCAAGCATCCGTGGCCAAAACACATGTCGCCGTAGATTGAAAAGCGTTTTCTGAATGCCAAAATGCCCTTGCACACGCGAGGTATGCGCTTCCCGAATCCACTGCAACCTATCACCATCTTCCGGAATGCATAGTGATGTCCCACGATACAACAAGCCATCTTCTCCAAGTGCATACTCCCCCCTTCGACCAGCCTTCGCCTGCTCAAACACACTACCGAAGTCCCTACTAGATGCATACAGCTGTACATACTCCAAAGGAACCAAGGGCTGAATACGCGTCGCCACCAATAAAGACCTTATCGGCGGACGAGATAACATATCGGCCAACTTGTTCGTCGCCCCCTTCTTGTACCTAATAATGATGTTGAAAGCCATCAAATACGACATCCACTTCATGTGCCGTGCCTGCTGTAGCTTCGTCTGGGCATGTAAGAACTCCAACGGCTTGTGATCCGAATGCACGACCACCTCCTTCCCTAACAAGTACACCCTCCAATGCTTAATTGCTTGATATAGTGCATAGAACTCCTTGTCGTAGGTTGGGTAGTTCGCAATAGCACCCGAAAACTTCTCAGAATGGTATTCCACTGGTTTCCCATCCTGAATCAACACCGCGCCCATCGCATAATTAGACGCATCGGTCTCTACCTCGCCGAAAACTTCTCAGAATGGTATTCTACCGGTTTCCCATCCTGAGTCAACACCGCGCCCATCGCATAATTAGACGCGTCGGTCTCTACCTCGAAAGTCCGCTGCAAATTCGGCAACGCCAACACTGGTGCCTCCGAGATCTTCTTTTTTAGCAACTGAAAAGCCTCCTCATGCGTCTTTCCCCACTCAAACTGAACTTTAGCCTTTGTGAGGCCATGTAACGGTGCCGCATAAGTCGAAAAATGTCGAATGAACTTGCGCAAATACTGGCAAGCCCCCATGAAGCTCCTCACCTCAGTCACTGTCTTCGGCGTCGGCCACTTTGTGATCACCTCCACCTTGCCTGGATCTATCCTCCGCTGGCCCTTCCCTACGATGAAGCCGAGATACACCAACTCGTCCTTCCCGAACTCGCACTTTTTCCCGTTGAGCTTCAGCTGTCCATCGTGCAACACTTCAAATACCTTCTCAACATGAACGAGATGCTCCTCCCAAGTCCTGCTGTACACCAAGATATCATCAAGGTAAACTATCACAAAATCCTCTATAAAGGGTCGCAACAAATCATTCATAAGCCTCATAAAGGTAGCCGGAGCATTGCACAATCCAAACGGCATCACCAACCACTCGAACAGGCCTTGCTTGGTCTTGAACGCAGTCTTCCAAGTGTCTTCCTCCCGAATCCTCACCTGATGGTAACCAGACTTCAAATCCAGCTTCGTGAAAACCTCGCTCCCTCTAACTGGTCCATAAGATCATCGATCCGTGGTAGTGGGTAACGATTCTTGATGGTTATCTTGTTGAGCTCCCGGTAATCCACGCACATGCGCCAGCCTCCATCCTTTTTGGGCACCAACAACACTGGTGACCCGCAAGGTGAACAACTCGGCATAATCACTCCCGCCTCCAAGAGCTCCTGAACCTGCTTCTTGATCTCCTCGGACTCCAGTACTGATGTGCGGTATAGGCCTATGTTAGGTAAGGAACTCTCCCCGGTCAACATAATCTCATGCTCTACACCTCGACGTGGTGGTAGTCCCGTGATCTCCGAAAACAAGTCCGTATACTTGACCTTCAACCTGTCAAGATCTCCCTCCTGGTGCTTGCTCAAGGTGGACAAGCATATCCTACTCAGCTGCTCTTCATACGGCCGAATGAACAATAAAATGAACTTCCTGCCTGCGTTCACCAACCTCTTAGCCTGAGTCACTGTCACCAAGCTCGTCTCCTGTGGGAGAGATGCTGAACGAAAAATGAATTGTTCGCCATCCTTGTTGAACGTGTACTTTTGGGCTCGCCGATCATATACTGCGTATCTATCCCACAAATAAGGATTGCCCAAAATAACTTGGCAAACATCCAACGGAACCACGTCGCATGTGACCTCGTCAATATACGACTCGTGGAGTGCAAATCTGAATGAACACTGGTTCACCACACTCAATCCCGCCTCCTTCTGAATCCACCCTAATGGATAGGGCTTCGGATGCTTCACCGTCTTCAATCCCAGCTTCTGTACTAATGCCTCAGATATCAGATTTTTCTGACTCCCTGGATCTACAATAGCATCCACTAAGCTGGTCTTGACCTGCAATTTCAGAACAAAGAGCTGCTCCCTCGGGTCGTCATCTTCTTTGGTGGCCTGCTTCCCCGCCATAAGGTTGAGACTGCTATTGGGTTCGGTCATCCCGGGAACCTCCTTCGGACCCTGTGCTATCACGTACGCCTTCTTCTCCTCCTTCTTCTTCAATCCTTTTGGCTTCAGATGAGGATACTTATCCCAGCAACGATCAGCCACATGCCCTGTCTGCTTGCAGTGATTGCATGTCAATCCTGCTTTCCCCGAGTCAACCTTCTTCTTCTCATCCTTAGACTGAGAGCCACCCGTCTTGCTCCCCGATGGTTTGGAATCCCCCTTTGTCTCGTTGCCCTTCTTTTGCCGGCCCTCAATGGCAATGGTCTTCACGCTCGCCTTTGCGATTGTCTCCACTGAAAACAGCTTCATCTCCTTCCGGATGTAATCATTCAGACCCGCCATGTACTTCATGAAGATGGGGTACTCAGATGTTGCGATGTTTAGGACCATCGCCTGTTGCTGGAACTCCGTCGTGTACTCTTGAACGGTCTGATTAAATTTTTGGCGCAAGCCATACCACTTGTACCAACGCTCCTCAAGGAACCCCACTGGATAAAACTGTTTCCGAAGTAGCTCCTTGAACTTGTTCCACGACGCCGCTTTCTTCTCCTGTTTGCAATAGGATTTCCACCACGTCAACGCGTGCCCTGAAAGCTTCAATGTCGCGAACACTATTTTCTCCTTGGACGAATATCCATAGAGAGTAAAGTACATCTCCATGCGTTCGATCCAATCATCAAGCTTCTCCACATTGATACTCCCATCATAAACAGGAATCTCAACCTTGAAGTCAATCTTCAGATTCTGGTAATGATTCTTACCCCCTTGATGGCCAGCAGTCTTGACAATCTCAGTCTCCCCCTCTGAATCAGCTTTCTCGCTCTCCTCATCGGATTCGTAGAGTCCTTTCTTACCCTTCGAAGAAGATTCCTCCTTTTTGTCTCCTCCGTTGATGAGGCCCACGAGTTGGGTAAGAGTCGTCCCAATCGTCTCAATCTGCTTCTCCATGGCATCAAGTCTTATTGAATTATCTGCTTCAGACATCTTCTCCTTCCTTAATTTCTGGACCCCCTCCGAGGAATTAAGGATCTCGCCAAGCTTCTTGTACTGTGAGCGAGTAAGAACCATACACAGTTCCCCCCTTCACAGGATCTAGTGCTCTGATACCAACTTAATACGAGTCGCCGTGCGAGAACTCTTGATCGCGGAATTATCAAGAGTGGGTAAAGAAGAAAACGACTGAAGAACACAAGAGTTATAATTAGGGCGAAGGAAAATACCTTCTCTAGACTATGAGAATCAATTGGATTTACAAAATCTCTCTCTCACAATCTCTCTAGATCAAAGAACAACCTCCCTGATCTCCTTTCTGATTACAATCTGAGTTCTCAACCCTAGAAAAGTCGTGTTTCTATTTATACTAAACAGAAATCCCAACTGGAGCAGGAAACAGACCCAAGCCCGGAACCGCTACGCGGTCGACCGCAGTGCCCAAGGCGGTCGACCGGTCAGAACGACGAATAACTGGAAAATCGATTACAGTGTTTCCGGTCGACCGCAGCGCCATCATCGGTCGACCGCTCTCAGTCCCGAGACATAGTCTGGGCCTGTGCACTAAGCGGTCGACCGCTGTGACCAAGCCGGTCGACCGGCCAGAGTCCAGCTGCAGATCCTGTAGTTTTGTCGAATCCTTTGACTTCGTCGCCTCCAATGGCCTCGTCCACGACTCCTCTACTCTATTCTCAAGATACCATGAGAATCATCTATCCTCAAGCTCCCATGAGGATCGCTAAGCTCCCGAAGAGAAGATACACCCGTATCACTAACTAAAAGTAACATTGTTTGCATTGTACTATTTAGGAAGCATTATATTTGAATCAAAGCAATAAAGGTTATTTTGGCTTTAACTTTTGTAGAATTAGTAATTAGAAACAGAAAAGAGAGATGATTTTCCCCTCCTGTTTACCTTTATTTATAAAAGAATACTAATCCAAGTCCAAAGTATATAAGGAATCGGAATCCTAATTACATAATGAGGAATTAAATTACTTTTGATTTTGTTTTGAGTTTTATTTGTTGTTTCATTTTGAGATAAGACGTTGTGAACATTCCTATGAGAGCTGTATGGAGGTCATGACAATGCGAACAGAGCTTACAATGCGATCCAACATTCTACAAATAAACAGAACATGACAATTTTCATAAGTCCTCTCATAACAATCTTCATATGCAGACCTGTATATGAAGAACTGATGTCCTCAAGTATTTCCAACTTGCAACGATTCAACAAAGTACTTAAGAAGACTAATACATTCATGCACTTTACAAAAAAATAATTTGCACTCAAATCTTGTTAACAAGCTCCCACCGTAAATAAGATACCGTAAATAAGATAACGATGATATAAATTTCAAAATCAAAATCAAATTTAGAAAAGAATGAAATGTTACCTTCTTCGATGATTTCCCTTCTTGATCCGAACAAATGCCCAAAATCTGAGAACTGAGGAGATGATGGCAGAATTTCAAAATCAAAATCAAATTTAGAAAGTGATGAAACGTTACCTTCTTCGATGATTTTCCTTCTTGATCCGAACAATTGCTCAAAATCTGAGAGCTGAGGAGATGATGGCAGAGGAGGTACGGTGATGATGAGGGCAATAATACTCATCGGTGGCAATTAATGATTTAAGAAAGTGGTAGGGCGTTGTCGGAGCTGAAGCGTAACCCATGGTGGCTGCTAAAGCGAAGTCGTAACCGACGAAGAGGAGGATGAAAGGAAGGAAGGATTAGGGCTCCCAATTTCTTAACTCTGTTTAACGATAAAAATGGATAAGGTTGTTATATTTACAATAGTTGAAGGGTATTTTGGGATAGAGAAAGTTTTTCAAGAACTCTCTCTTTTAAAGGGTAGATGATATATACACGCACACACACACAAAAGTAGAGGATGATGATGTTTGTCCTCAGAACCAATGTGGGACTAAACCCACTATTAACACAATATTATCAATATGGAGAAATCGGAAAATAAGTTGGGTTGAAAATTAATTAACCTAAATCTAAATTGTTGGACTTTTTGTTTAGATTTATTTGTCTTTCTCGCAGTTCGATACTTGAAAGAATACTCAAGTATGAATCATAATAGTCTTCTCTTTTATTTCTGAACATACCTCAACAATAGACGAAAAATCATAGGTATTTCACTAACTTGATCTAATCGGTCGAGTACAAAGTAACAGTGTGACTATCAATATTAAGAGGATAAAAAGGAAAAACCTTTCAAATGAGAGGAGAGGAGAGAAGGGGGATGGAGAATGAGGGAGTGACAGTGACGGGAAAGGGAGAGGCAGAGAAGTCCATTTCCCCTAATGATCAATATTCCTATTGATTCACCTATTCAATTGTCGTGAAAAAGAAAGTCTATACGGTGAAATCTGTCGCATCAGGCGCAAACTGAATTTGATCTTCTTCACTATCAAAAAAAAAAAAATACTGAGATAATTATTTTTATTATAATTGTTAATTTGTCTATTGAATTATTATGATTCATTTTAAATCTAGGACTAATCATACCCTCTATAAATAGTACGCATTCCTAATTTACAATCAAAGATAGTTCACAACTACTAACTAAATAAATCAATAGCTATAATAAAAAACTGTGGTACTTTATGCAGAGGATAAAAAACCGATACATACGTACTGTAGTCTTAGATTGGAAAAAAAAGGGGCCACTGAAGGTCAGACGAGTTTTAACCAAATGTTGAACCAAAATAGCTTAAAATCGATCGGCTATGTCTAATAACCCTTGCAAAACTAGGACAGAATAAACCAAATTAACTTTAAAACAATGGAAAACTAGGCCAATAATAGCTTGCTTTTTCCCAAACAAAGTTTTTGCCATCCTAACCTCGTTCTAAAAGTTTGTCCAACACAATACGAAATTGTCAGGACGTGCTTTACGCGCTCTCTCTCTCTCTCTCTCTCTCTCTCTCTCTCTCTTTCTCTTTGCAACGTGAGACCCAACAAATTAAACTATGAATCAAATATAATATTTTGTTATGTTTTTTCGGTATACCTCAAGAAATCCACAAAAACTCAATAAGTACTCCGTTGCCTAAAAGTCTAGACCTACAATTAAAGAACATCAATATGATTACCAACATTAGTAGGTACAGATGAAAAATTATATGTGCAAGACCGTCATAGGCATGCCAAGTTCAGAGGAAAAATGAAGTACTATGATTCTATGAAGGGCATTCTATAGAGAAAAATATTTAGGCTAAATGGCACAGCTTACCCGTCTTATTGTTCATCTAGTACCTTTTTACTTATACATCCCCACTTGTATTTAGTAGCAAGAAAATACCCTAAAGTTTTTTAAATTTGTATTTATATACCCTCACTTAATTTTGATAGCAATTATATACCCTAAATTTATTAAAACTTGATCTTATACACCTTAAAGTTTTTAAATCTGATACTTAAATACCCTAATTAAATTTTTTAAAACTTACACTTAAATACTCTCAAGTTTGCATAACAGGAGGTATTCATGTGTATGTTTTAAAAACTTTAGAATATTTATATACAGGTTTTAAAAACTTCAGAATATTTAAGTGCGGCTAAAAAAGTTAGGGTACATAAGCGCAAGCGTAATTTTTTTCTATCTGCAATACCAGTTGGGGGCATATATAAGTGGGATGTTAGTGAAATAATAGGATATGTAAGCCCTATTTAGCTAATTATTTATGAAAGGATTCTAAATTTCGATGCAAGTCGCATCATGCATTAAAAAAAAAAAAAACTCTGAGACGTTCCGACATAGCCGACACTGTACTTACAAATCACATCCCAACATACAAAATAGTGAATCATCTACAGGTTTAGCTCAGTGTAGGGTGGGTTCCACAACATCGTCTTCGTGTTGGAAAACATTATTTCATCCTGTTATCTTGTTCACATGGCGACCCCCATGACAGTGATCTGCCCAATAGAAACAGCAAACGTGGCAAGGAAAAAGAAGAACCTTTTATTAACGTTAGGAAAGCACGTGGATTGTGCTTTAAAGCGTGCACGCGGTAGAATTGAAATGGGACTTTAGGTTTGGGGAGAGTTGTTGGAGCGGGTACAGGCGATATTCTTTGAGGAGAGCTATGCATTACGTTTGGATTGCATCACGTTCACGTACATAATATCAAAATCTAGTGTGTCTGAATTCATGATCATGAGATGGGGCCAATAGATATTAGAGCAATGAAAGACACTACTACATGCGGAACTCTCAAGTTCCATATATAGTAGTAAGTTGAGTTTTTATTAGGTGTTGTACAGTGTGACAATTAATGCTTTAAAGGTTGAATGCAAATTCTGATCATTAGTGGTGCTAAAGATACAGTTGCACACCGTATAGTTGTTGGTTTTGGAAGTGTGAAGATCGAAACCTGAAGAAGAAATCATCAAAGAAACAGAAAAGCCGTGATCGGTCGACCGACATGCTTGGACCGGTCGACCGAGAAGCCTGTAGGAATTGAGCCCAGGAAGTTCGCTCTGGTCGATCGACCGACACAAGCTCATCGGTTGACCGACACGAACTCAAAAAACTTAAAGGAGTTTCGGGTCGGTCGACCGATGGCACTGAGCCGGTCGACCGACAACATGCACGAGAACCCTGTAGAAAACTGGGTTCTGGCCGGTGGTGCTAAAGATACAGTTGCACACCGTATAGTTGTTGGTTTTGGAAGTGTGAAGATCGAAACCTGAAGAAGAAATCATCAAAGAAACAGAAAAGCCGTGATCGGTCGACCGACATGCTTGGACCGGTCGACCGAGAAGCCTGTAGGAATTGAGCCCAGGAAGTTCGCTCTGGCCGATCGACCGACACAAGCTCATCGGTTGACCGACACGAACTCAAAAAACTTAAAGGAGTTTCGGGTCGGTCGACCGATGGCACTGAGCCGGTCGACCGACAACATGCACGAGAACCCTGTAGAAAACTGGGTTCTGGCCGGTCGACCGAAGCCATTGCACCGGTCAACTGACATCGGGTTTTCCAGTTTCCTAATTGTTTTGGGAAACAGTTTTGGGCCGTGATACTATATATACATTGATATGTTTTTAGGGTTTGCAGAACACAAAAAAGAGGGGTTTTGACGGCACTTTGAGGTCAGAGATCTTAGAGAGAGAGAGGCATATTGCGAGCATTGTAATCTTCTTCAATTAATCAAAGATTTTTTGTGTGACTCCCGAGGACGTAGGCATGTTTGCCGAACCTCGTTAAAATTGGTGTTCTTTGTTTGATTATTCTTTCCTATAAGTTTTTTTTTTCTTTTATTTGCTGTGATTTCCTGCTTGCCTACTTTCGGCACAAGATCCGGAAGGGCACGTGTTGTATGTTCAACCCCAACAATAGTTGGTTACTTAAAACTTGTAGTACAAGCACTAAATGGCCTTAATGACATGACTAAATGAAACCAAATTGTCCACCGTAGACCATCTAGATGGTTGGGATGTGCAAATATCACGCCCAAGTGCCTGGGTTGGATCCCCATTCCATTCATGTGGAGGGATTTAAGTGGGATTTAAATACTCTGGTTTACGAGGTCTCTTGAGAGGAGGCTGAGATCGGATCTCCTCTCGGGCTCCTCCAATTCGGTCTGAGGTCGTAATGCCTCTTGATGTTGCTTCTGAGTGTGCTAGGACTCAAACTTTGGCCTCCTTTCTTGATATGAGCTCCTCTAAACGAGGATTTCTCCTTGTATTTTTTTTTGTTAATTACAGATATAGGTCAACTTGTTGGATTTAATCTAATAAATCTATTTGTGGGCACATATGATTAATCAATGTGTATTGCTATCTTTCAGGATAACCCACTAAAGTGATCAATTAAGTTGGGTTAATTTGGTATTTAAATGATTATGGGGTCATATGTGCAGATACCAGGTTGTAATTGTAATTTATTGAGGGGCTAAATTACAAAAGTACAACATCTATAAATAAGGGGTTATGGTCCCTAACCTAGGGTTACATTCTCTAATTCTCTTCACCCCCATCTAAGAGAGAAATTCGGTTTTAGAGAAAAACCCTAAGGTTAGAAGATCCAAAACCCAAAATCAAGATCATCCATGGATTCAGGTATAAGCTTCCGCTCTTTTGATTATTGTTAATCTCTTTGAATTAATCATGGCTATATGGTTTTAGATCTCAAGTTTTGATGTAGATCTAACAAGTGGTATCAGAGCCACCTTGATTAATTCTTAGGGATTTAAGTTTTATTGGGTTTTTGATCTTAAATCTCTGGTTAAAGATTCAATTTTTGGGTTCGGAGGAACAGTAATGTTCTCGGATGAACAGTAACGAAATTTTTTTCGGATGAACAGTAAAGTTTTTTCGGATGAACAGTAACTTTTGGGAATTTTTTGGATTTTCTTTGATTTTTCCTTCAATTTTTTCCAATTCTGAATCTGTTTTGAAAATAAAAATCAAAGGTTTTTTGGGTTTGTCGGCGGCGGTTTCAATTTGAAACCCTAAGGGTTCATGGCGAAAATTAAGGAGGTGGTTACCTCAAACGATCCTCGCGTTTGTTCAATTTTAACCGAGCTTCGCGTTCAATTTGAAACCCTAAGGGTTCATGGCGAAAATTAAGGAGGTGGTTACCTCAAACGAACCTCGCGTTCGTTCAATTTTAACCGAGCTTCGCGCTCAACGAACCTCGCGTTCGTTCTAAGGTGAACCTCGCGTTCAACTCAGGTGAGCGTCAAGC